AAAAAAAAAAAAAAAAAAAAAAAAAAAGACCACAAATAACAAGTGCTGGTGAGGATGAGGAGAAAAGGGAACCCTTGTGTACTGTTGGTGGGAATGTAAATTGGTGCAGCCACTGTGGAAAACAGTATGGAGGTTTCTCAAAAAATTAAAAATAAAACTGCCATACAATTCAGCAATTCCACCCCTGAGTATTTATGGGAAGAAAACAAAACACTAACTCAAAAAGATATATACATTTTTATGTTCTCTGCAGCATTATTTACAATAGCCAAGATATGGAAGCAACCTAAGTATCCATTGATGGATGAAGTGATAAACAAGATGTGATATACTGTATGTATATATACACACACACATATATATACACAATGGAATATTACTCAGCCATAATAATGAATGAAATCTTGCCACTTTCAACAACATAGATGAGTCTAGAGGGCATTTTGCTAAGTGAAATAAGTGAGACCAAGAAAGACAAGCAATGTATGACTTCACTTATATGTGGAATCTAAAAAACAAAAGAAACGAACGAAACAAAACAGAAACAGAATCATAGTTATAAAGAAAAACTGGCAGTCACCAGAGGGAAGGGAGTTGGGGGTTGGGCAAAATAGATGTGAGTGATTAAGAGGGCCAGATTTCCAGCTATAAAATAAATAAGTCACAGGAAAGTAATGTATCCATAAGGAATGGTCAATAAAATTGCAATAACTTTGTATGGGGACATATGGTTACAAGACTTATTGTGGAGATCAATTTGTAATGTATATAAATGTCAAATCACTATGTTGTGATCCTGAAAATAATATTGTATATTAATTATACTTCAATTAAAAGAAAGAAAAAAAGAGAAAATCCATTTGCCCACTGAATTTGAGCCACTGAGAAAGGCCCCATATGTCACTTTTCACCATGTCTCTCCTTAATTTCATCATGTTAAATGAAACATTTTAATAAATATACCCTAAGTAATACTGTATTTGGTAACAAATGCATAACCATTGTTTCCTATTTGTCCTATTGGTTCATCTCTTAGTATCTACAACTATTAAGAGTGATCCCTTCTCAGGTCATAAAGGAACCTGAGTGGGCAACAATTTTAAGACAATTTTTTTGCTCTTGTCTCTATTATTGTTCAGTTTTTCTTTCAAAAGAATCTGTGCTTGGAGAAAAATTTTACTGTGTAAAGACCAGCTCTCTTTTCTGCCTAAAAATTTCAGGTAAGTTTGAGGGAAATGATGCATAAGGAAAACTTTGACACTACATTGCTTTTATGTTAAGTTTGCTCATCAAATCCATTTTTTGCATATTTTCCAAGGTCGAACTAAAAAGATACTCACTGAGCTTGCTGGACTTTATAAATGACCACAAATTTTTAAATCAAAATGACACCTTCTAAATATAGCACAATGACACAACAGTTTCTCAATAAATACTTGTTTTATGAATAAAAGAATAATTAAGCAGCATGTTTTAAGATAATGAGTTTAAATGGGCTAGCGTTATAAATTTTAATTTCAGCAATGGGGCTTACTTTCAGGATCCAGACTCCTACTCAACAGACATCTCAGGAATTAGTGTTTGAATCCCAAAGAGGGCTGCTTGAGAAACTGAGCCATATGAGCTCTTGGATATTTTCAGAACAGAGTGTGTCTGCTTTGCATACTTTTAGTACTTTTTGCTTTTCCTCTACTGTTACCTGTATACCTGTGTCACTAACTCGGCCTTCAGCAGAAGGAGGAGCTGTATGCTTACCTGTTCCTGGCGTTGGGCATGGTTCACAAGGTTTGTTCCAGGCTTTGCCCACATTGTATGTGCAGCAGCACATCCTCTTTGTCACATTAAAAGGCAACTCATTCTCACAAGTGGTTCCATTATAGCTTCGGTAGCAGAAGCTTTTTCTCATGTCTACATAGAGAAAAACAAGTAAGCCAACCAATCCTATCAGCAAGCAGCTAATAACAAACCCCACACACCTGGACACACCAAACTTCCTCGATTAACTGAAAACTTTCACGGTCGTTTGGAGGTATATTAAAATAATTCCTTAAGCTGAACACAAATCATTTTTAGATAAGCATCTTTCCTGTTTTTAAATAAGGGGTTTCATTAACAATTTTCTTGGGGGGACAAAGTTAATAGATACTTCTCTATTCAAATGCATTTATTTAATTTAAAAAGGATTACATGTTAAATTTTAAATGTTCTCTTATTCATAAAATAATGTTCACTTTACATGAATGGAAGATAAAAATTATTTAAGAATATATATTTACAATATTTGATGAAATTTTCTACCTGACTCATGCTTTGTAACGTGCAACTATGTAGCCAAAGTTCAAAAATATGGTACAGACCCAGAAGTTTATAAGACTTTGAAATACTTCACTATTCATAAAGATTTAACTTCCAAACTTTCTGAATAATAATTCTGAGATGTAAGTATCTGGGAGATAACTGTTGGCCAGGAAGCCAGCAACTGTGACCTAATCAATCTCAGAGACCTTTACCTACCCATACAGTTGTGGCCTCCATTGACCTGCATGTATTCAGGTGGGCAAATGCAGGTGTAATTTCCCAGGGTGTTGTAGCAAGTCCCAGGTCCACACACACCAGGATGTGCAAAACACTCATCAATATCTAGAGGATGCAAGAATGTCCATTAATTAGTAAATATTTTCCCCATGAATTTATATCACTGAAACTACTGAACAAAGCATATGGCTGATTCCCCAAATTCATATTTTATAGAATTTATCTTATTTTTATAAAATTTAGAATTTAAAGCAATTACATAGGAAATGCCCCCAAATATGCATTTACATGATATAAAATATGTCCTTCTGAAGAATAAAAACCTAACATTCAAAAATAGAGATGATCAAAATAAACTATTCCAAAGTGGCAAAAAATAACTTAAATGGCACCTATACTTTTTAATTGAAATTTCATATTCTTCAAATGCAATTGCTTTAAAGCTACTTTCCTCTGATGTCACTGAAAACCAAATATTAGTGTCAACTTTAAACTGAATGCAGTTAGAAAAGCCTTTTTCTTTATAGCCCCTTTCAAATTAGCACCCATTCAGAGATTCTAGAAGTAGCACAGCTGGTGGGTAATTCTCCTTATTAAATCATATTTCTTCCAGATGCATTTATCTAACATGTTCCAAAAGAAAGGTTATAACGGAAATAATTACATTACATGTTTAATGTTCACTTTTAAGAAGCATTCATTCATTCATTCCATAAATAAATACTGAGATTCTACTGTAAGCTAGAACTTGTAGCTATAAAGATGAAATAGATGTGGACCTTGCTTTAAGAAGCTCCCAGTCTAGCGGGGAGACGGGCCTCTAAAAGGATGATTACACCGCCATGTGAGAAGTTCGGCATGGAACCAAGAAAGGCATCTGCGTAACCTTTGAACTGCTTCATACTATGTTGTCCAACATTTAAAAGTTACTGAAAATATTACCCTAATGGTTGTATTTCAAACTTACCTATTTTTCTACATAAAATATAACTTATTGGTATTTGAACTAATAACTTATTTTGATACTGAATGTTTTCATACTATTCCAGCTTCCCCCACTTATTACCAACCCATTACTCAGAGAAAAATAATGGTAAATTGTGGCAAATAATCTGTAAATTAATTTATCTGTCATCATACAACTTAGCAGCACTGATAGGAAAAGAAAAAAGCTATGAACCAGTCTCAACATATCCTTTGATAAAATTTGAAGATGGACCCTTTTTCTCCAGGCCTGACCAGTAATTTTGTTTTAAATAGCACTAATAATTTTTAGGTATAAATTTATCTCACCTTCACAGATGCGGGTTTCCTCACTGAGGTAGTAGCCTTGAGGGCACTCACACTGGAAGCTCCCGAAAGTGTTGATACAGTTTCCTCCCTGGCAGAGACCTGGTAACTCCTGGCATTCATCAATATCTGCAAAAGGGGAGACAGTTCAGATACCATCATGAAAGATAAGAGTTACTATGAGAGCTTTCAAATGTGTGATACTGTAAGACCTGCAGACTTCCACACATCCAAGTGAACGCACACTTAGATGGGAGGTTTATTCTGACCATGCATTTTCTTGGCTTTGTCATGGAACTTTGCTATAATCTGAGAAGAATAATTACAGCAAGCTGAGGATGATTAAAGTTGGGGATAATTATAAAAAGAGTTTCTCTGCAGAACAATCACACATCAGGTCACTGCAATGGGTCAAATCTTTCTGATTTACAAATGGTTATTCATCAGACTGGTAATTGTCCATCTGTAATTTTGCAAAATAATCTTGTTGGGACTGTTCCACACTAACTTTTCTACCAGATTTTCTCTAAAGTAAGTTCTTTACCTTGTTTAAATCTGGTGACAATAAGAGGTATGCTCACCTTCTAAGATGATTGTGATGGGGTTAGGTCTGAAGCCTTCACCTCCAGGACACAAAGTGTAATATTCAGCTGCAAAACAATGGAAAAAAAGAAATTTGATACCGGTGTGCAAGAGGCTGACAGTGAATTAGCACTTAACAACTGCCAGGCTCAAAGCGCATATCCTAAGGGGTGTATCTACATTTTCCTTAGTGCCTTTTCAAATACATTATCTTTACAAAGTACATTACATTTTACTTGAAATAAGATCATTACTTCATAAATTATATACAAAATAGAATAACAAAACCCATTTGCTTTTAATTAAAGAAAGAAATTGTTTTCAGACAATTTATATTACAACCTTTTTGGCTAGTAAATAAAAACTAAAAGACTCAATAATTCAAAAGTTTCACCTATGTTCATATCAGGACATACATTTCAATTTAAGACATAAAATATGACTGGACTTGAGGAATACAACTCATCTATGAACCTGAACTAAAACAACTGTGGAAAAGAACCAGGAATGGCCTTTATCTGTGACACCAGGGAGAACGGATATTATCATCATTCATATTGGATTGTGGTTAAAAACTGTTTTTTCTTTTTAGCATTATAAAGAAAAACAGTAAGAAGAGAGGAATTCAGATTCCTTTTATATGACACACTCTTGGCTGGTTTCAGCACAATCATTGAAAGTTTTGACCCTCACTACCAGATTCAAAGTTTTGACCCTCACTACCTCCCTCACCCCCCAGCACCAGAAGAAAATGGTAGCTGGTGCTCAGCTACCAGTGTTTCTTTCCTCTTCTTCCGTTCCATACTCACTGCTATTGACAGGGGGGCAGGTCTCGCAGGGGTTCCCCCAGGCCTTCCCCAGAGAGCAGCAACAGGAGGAGCGGCTGACGCCCACCCCAATCTCAGTGTTGCAGGAGAGACTCCCGTCACCCCGAGGACCGAACTTCAGGTAACAGTTGCCCACTCGATTGTCTGCAGGGCAACACAGGAACTTAAAATCGTCCTTATCAGAGTAAGAATGCCTGTTCTGGAGAATGGTCACTCAAATGATGAAATTCAAATTCTGTACATTAATCCCCAGAACAGAATAATCTCTTGCTTTAAACTTTTTCAAGACTGAGTTGCAGGAATTAAATAAATTACACTTTCCTATGTCTAGACATCCATAGAGATCATGGACTAAACAAGATAGTAAGCAATTACTCATCTGGGACATTCTGGACCTTTAATAATATGATTGCAAAAAATGTTTCCTATAATCAATCTATAGCATGAGTTTATCAATAAAGGGGGTGAAATCCAATATGTTAATTTAAAGTAATGTATCCATCACTGAAATACTGATAACGCCATCTCCTTCCTGTCCTCCCCATAATCTCCATTCTCCCACAGTTTAGTTTCAACTGGCACATTGAGTTATGCAGGTTTTGGGAAAGCCAGTCTGTAACAACTTTAGGGAGGCTACTTAAGAGATCAATGAATCTCAGCCTTTGCCTTGTCTCTATCCATAATTACCATCTAGATCACCTCATTAGTTCCATGACTTTAAATACTATCAAATTTGTGGTTCCATCTTTCACTTCTCCCCTGAACTCAGATCTTTCTGCCATGTGCCTAGTTTTTGATTTCTCCTCTTAGATATCTAAGGTATTTTAGAGTTAACACGTCTAAAAATCAAACACTTGATACTCTTTCCTCCACATACAAACCCTGCTCCAATCCTCTCCCAGGCTTCTGCATTTTCAATAAACGGGAACTCCAATTTTTTAATTGCTCAGGCCCTATACCTTGCAGTCAAACTTTGAATCCTTACTATCATGCCTTATTCAATCCAGTAATAAGGTCTGTCAACACTACTTTCAAAATTTATCTGGACTCTGATGACTTACCACTGCTTCCAAATCACTACAACCTGAGTTCAAGCCACCATCATCCCTCATCTGGACTATTGCAATTGTTTCCTAACTCATCTCTGGACCCAACTATAGTCTATTTTCCCCACCAAAGCCGGAGAGATCCTTCAGAAGTATTACCTTAGCCCAGGCCACTCCCAGTGGTGTCCCACGTAAATCAGAGTAAAATCCAAAGTCCTTATTACAGTCTACCAAGTAGTTTTCAGCTCCAGCTGCACATTATAATCACTTGGGCAGCTTTTTATTATTTTACTTTTCTCTTTTTTTTTTTTTTTTGGTTTTGTTTTTGTTGCTGACTCCGGTGCAGACAGAGGTGTTAAATCATGGTTCTGCTCTTACTAGGCTGTATTCATTCATCCTTCCTTCCTCCTTTCCTCCCATTCTCTCTCTTTTATCCCTGCTCTCCATTCTCATTCCTCATCCCCTACCCAACCATATGAATGTGTTTAATATTATTCTTTTGGTCTCTGCTCCTGCAAAATTAGTATTTTTGTTTTCGTGTGCACATTTTAAATTTCTATAAATGGTATTTTGTAGTATACCTCATTCCATCTTTATAACATCCAACCCGTCAACTCCACAGTATTCAACTGCGATTCTTTTTCCATCTATCCACTCTCCAAATATGGCTTCTAAATTCTTGCCACTGCAAATAATGAGGCACTGAATATTTTTCCTTATGTTTCCGTATGGGCCTGTAAGTTACTTTATTTGATATCTAAAGCCCAAAGAGGAGCTGCTGGTTCACAGAGTTTGCATATTCTTAGCCTTTGGTATCAGGAAAAACAGTCCTTGTTATATGCCATATGCATCCAGTGAACCTTTTTAATTTTTTATATTTATAAGTCATTTTGAAAATAATTTGCAGAAGAAAAAGACACAAACAACCTTACTAGAAATTTTAATGGGAAGTTAATCATAGTTAACTCAAATTTTATTCCATATTTCCTTGGTTTTGAAAAAATATATACCTGAAATGGTCCTATAAATGCCATTAACTGCTTGCCTGTCAGTTGTCATGCATAAACCTGAAACATATTCATTTTGTAAAACTGATTCCACATTTCAAACACATCTGTCCTGGCCAATGTACTGGACAGGGAGCCAGGCAACTCGGGACACTGCTTCAGCTCTGCCATTTGCAAGCTCTGAGACCTTGAACAAATGACTGCACCTCTAGGGCTCTGGTTCTCAAGTCTGTGAGAGGAGGTGGTGGGAGCAGATGTCGCAAAAATTCCTCTTTCAAAATATGACTTGGAAGATAAGCAGGATAAAAGTGACCATATATTTTGGCAATCTAGAGTTTCTTAAGGTAAAGGACTACTATTTTGTTCTCAAGTTAATTGTAGTAAATAGTCATCACAAGAGAGTATGAGTATTTAACTCTATGTACTTCTATTCATTTGTTTCATATAGCTTTTGCTTACCAACACAACCCACACCGGTGGGGTTCAGCTGGAAATCGGGTGGACAGTTACACTCATAGCGACCAGGAGTGTTGACACATAGGCCGTTCACACAGTTTATTGGATCTGCACATTCATCAATATCTAGGAAAAACATTTAAAATGCCCACATTAACATCTTTACTTTCCTTGTGCATACTGCTGTTCCAAAGAATTTGGTGGAAATTTTGCAAGTCAGTAGACTAAAAATCTTTAGGAGGGACTCAGAACAATGAAATAAAAATGAAATACTTTTATACACCTAAAGCAGTTTCCATAGATCAGTCACACAGTATTCATGATGATATCATTTAATATCCTTAATAAATAAATTACAATGAAATGTTGCAATTCTGAAGAAAAACATTTTATCACTGTTTAATTAAACTTAAACATATGTATTATATATTTGTACATATATGTGGACATCATAAATACATACAAAGAAATACTTTACTAATTTCGTGTTGGATATTTAATATTAAGTTGTTTATATTACAATGGATCAATTCAATAGTTAAAAATAAATGTATCAGCCAAGGGGGAAAGGGGTGGGGTGTGAGGAATTGTGAGACTGGGATTGACACATATACATTATTGACACTATGTATAAAATAGACAACTGATGGGAAAATATTGTATAGCACAGGGAGCTCTACCTAATGCACTGTGGTAACCTAAATGGGAGGGAAGTCCAAAAGGGAGGGGATATCTGTATGTGTATGGCTGATTCATTTTGTTGTGTAGTGGAGGCTAACACAACATTGTAAAGCAACCATACTCCAATAAAAATTAATAAAAAAATAATAAAACAATAAATGTATGAGAATGTAATTTTCTTTTTCAAAAAAATGCATAGCCCAAGGCATAGCAGGCTATGCAGAAATTTGAGGAACTTCTATATCTAGCACAAAATGCTCATTTCAACTAATAAGAACACAATTAAGCCCTTAACTGGCCATACCTGTACAGTTCCCTCCGGTTCTGTCCAATTCATAACCATCATCACAGATGCAATGAAACATTCCAGGCAAATTATTACATGTTCCAAAGACACAAATATTTTGGAAGGAGCATTCATCGATATCTGGAGATTTAAAAAAATAGTAATCTCATGATTACAAAGACATTTAGATTTACTGTACGACATTAATAAATTATTCTATCTCCTCAGATGTTTTTATGCAGCAAAAAATTTTCTTTTTCTTTGACCAGAGATGTCACATAAATGGCAAGCAGCTAATGTTTATATGGGTCAGAAATATGAAAGAATATTATCTTATTGTATTGACAGTATTTTACTGTCTTGGCCTGTAAAATACTTCAGAAAAAAATTGGCCTAGGGCATAAAAACTTTTTAGAAATTAAATATGAATGTGTTAAAGGAATAAGATTGTAAAAAATTAAAGATAAAAACAAATTCAAAGATTATAATAATTAAGTGAAAACAGATGTTTTATAAACACCTACAACATACAAAATATACAAAATAAATATTTTAAATATTAAATATATCGTTTAAATTATTTCAGTTTAATTTTTTAAACTTCTTTCTTGTTATGTAATCTGATCTGTTATAATAAAGTCAGTTATAAACAGGGAAAGAAGTTTTTTCCCAGTAGTGTGTAATAAGATCATCCATTGCCCCACATTCCTCCAAATCTCATCAAGATATCTCTATTGGACTGAAATCATAAATTCAGTTTATGAAAGTCTTCCATGAAGCTTTAACTCAAAATAAACAAGAAGTTATCACTCCTCATTCGTATGAAAATGAAGGCATAGTGTGCCTGTACAGCTGTAGAAGTAATCTGTATTTCTACTCATAGGAAGAGGATGGACATTTTTGTACACAAATTACCTCATATCCTGAGAATGCAGACCAGGCATGGCATTTTAGGCTAGACTAGACAAGTCATTCTAAAATGCTGTCTTGAGACAGTCATATCTTAAGTATAAATGGGTCTTTTGGTCATTTATGATTGTCAAAATAAAGCATTACAACTATCTTATATTTAAAGTATGGTTCAAATTCTGTCTAGAAGTTCAACTGATGTGTAAAGTTGTCTTTACTTGTGTTGGGGCGATAAATAAAGTTATTCTTTTTATATAAATCAGTAAAGACTCATTAAGTTAGTTTATAATTGAGTTGTGTTAATCTATAAATTGAAGTGGAATTGTATTATCAACCTTCTGCATATGCATTTTACTTTTAAGTGAACTTTATTAGAAATAACTTCCATTTAAATAACATAAAAGTTGCGTGGAATAAGGTATTTTAAGAGAATACTGTCTTGTTTTTATAAAACTGATGCATATTCAGAAATTTGAACAATCTGTATTGGTGATACAGAGTGGTGATAGGAAACAGAAAAGATAGGAAACACAGAAAATAAGATAGCAAGAACAAAAAATCACTCAAAAATGCTTCTATCCAGAATTATCATTGTAATTGGATGAACACCATTCCAAATATTGATATTTCTCAGTGCATATTCACAGAGAGTAAAGCTGAAACAATTTCCATGCATCAGATCAATTTTTTATTATCTCAGTATCTTCTAAAATGCTTTCTAATGGTAAGAACTTACAAAAACACTAAAACTGTATCATCTTTTGGCTTTATGTTAAAATTCAAACACAATTTTAAGACAGTATTAATGGATTCTATACAATGATGATTAACAATTAGCATCCATATATGCTTCCAACTCATTTTTGTTACTCATATTATTTTCACTTTTTAAATGTTCATGGCATTTACCATAATCTCTACAGTATTTAGTACTAATTCTTTAAAGGAATCAATAATGTTTTTATTGTCACTTCTCCATTTATTTCTTGATTGGCTGTTTTTCATTGCTGATAAGTTGTGTGTTGTTTTTGTTTTTGTTTTTGTTTTTTTTTGCCCAAGACAAGAAGGGAGAGCCCACAGGTGGTTTCTTTCTGAATTATTTCACTTGTCAGGATATGTCTATTGTCTTTTTTTTTTTTTAATAAATTTATTTATTTTTGACTGCATTGGGTCTTCACTGCTGTGCGCAGGCTTTCTCTAGCTGCAGTGAGCGGGGATTACTCTTCGTTGCGGTGTGTAGGCTTCTCATTGCGGTGGCCTCTCTTGTTGCAAAGCATGGGATCTAGGCGCGAGGGCTTCAGTAGTTGTGGTGCGTGGGCCTCAGTAGTTGTGGCGCGTGGGCTTCAGTAGTTGTGGTGCGTGGGCTCTAGAGTACAGGCTCAGTTGCTGGCACAACTGGCTGAGTTGCTCCTTCGCATGTGGAATCTTCCCGGACCAGGACTCGAACCTGTGTCCCCTACACTGGCAGGAGGATTCTTTTGTTGTTGCTGTTGTTGTTGTTTTTTGTGGTATGTGGGCCTCTCACTGTTGTGGCCTCTCCCGTTGTGCAGCACAGGCTCTGGACGCGTAGGCTCAGCGGCCATGGCTCACGGGCCCAGCCGCTCCGCGGCATGTGGGATCTTCCCGGACCGGGGCACGAACCCGTGTCCCCTGCATCGGCAGGCGGACTCTCAACCACTGTGCCACCAGGGAAGCCCTGGCAGGAGGATTCTTAACCACTGCGCCACCAGGGAAGCCCTGTCTATTGTCTTTGTAATTAACTAACTCTGAGGTATAACATTCTTGTCACATGTGTCCTTATAACTGTGAGGGCAGCATTCTAATGAGTGTTGGTACTGAATGTTTGTTTTGTTCATGACTTGCCTTTTCTATCTGCAGTTTGAAGAATCTCTATTACTTAAGTTGACAAATTCAATACGGTTAAATAAAAATGATTTACTTCTTTCTGTATATTCAGTTCCTTCTTCTATTTCTGGAAAATGTTTGGTTGTTTAATACTTTTTTCTGTTCAATTTTTAGGGACTCTTCACTTCAGAAACACCCATTGTACTTAAGTTTATGGTCTTTGTCTTTTCTCTAATAGTGTTAATTTATCCTCTCCCCCTTTTTTTTCACTGTGATTATCTCACGTCCATTCTCTATGGTAGTAATTACATTTTCATCTCCTCTGTTCTTTGCTGTGTCTATTTAATTGTTCTCTTATTTTGCTGCACTGGTCCACGTTTTTTGTTTCCCTTAACTCTGCAGTATCTCTTTTTGTCTTATTTTTCTGTTTTTATAATCACTTTGAACTTGTTCAATCATATGTTTTTATTAAGGTTATCTGTGGTACAATATACCTATGCGAAATTTGCTCTTGTTCTTTGAGTAGTTTTCCTCTACTCTGGATTGATTATTTATCTGCTTTTTGTATGCTTTTTTTGTTGTTGTTGTTTCCATAGAACACCTGCACAGTTGCTGTTGTTTCAGTTTGTTTACACGTTACTTGGTCAGCTCTTTCAAGAGTTTTATATACAGTTGATGCTTGAACAACATACATTTGACCTGTGCAGGTCCACTTATACAGGGATTTTTTTCAATAGTAAATACTACAGTGTATGTAGTACAACTACACTATCTGCAGTTTGTTAAATGTGTGGACATGGAACCGCGAATGCAGAGAACTGTGAACACTGAGGGCCGACTACAAGTTATGCACAGATTTCCCCCCATGCTGAGGGTAAGTGTCCCTAGCCCCCATGTTATTCAAGTGTCAGCTGTACTCTGATACAGTTTAGATGGAGCTTCCCGACATCCTCCCTTCTTTTTTGATTTGGGCTTTCTTTGGAAGACAGCTTGGGGTATAGCTTCTTCTGGAAGACAGAAGGGGTATAGCTTCTATTCTGTGGCCCAGAGTTTCATAAGGTGGAGGAAGAGGAGAAATACGGATGGGAGGACCTCCACTGGGCTCTGTGTGCTCTTTGTTGGTGAACCTGGCCCCTGCTCTCTCTTCGGAAATCATACTAAATGCTCTGTATCTGGGTTTACTCCATCTGATGGAGTCCTAACCTGTCGCTGAGGAGGTTCTTGCAGGTTCTGTACTTTCCCATTTTGGTGAAGAATACTGGGAAATGGCCAACTCCAGCAGTTTTTTAAACTCTATAGAAATTCTAAGAATTTATGATTAGAGGTAGATGCTGAGTGGAAAATGTTGATTAGAGGATCAATTCAAAGGGGCATCAATTTATAATAAGATGGGAAAATATCAAGGAATTAAAGTAATAAATTCAGGATAAACTGTTTAGATGTGCCAGATGTCATAGAAAGAGAGAAGACAAAACCATGGAGAAACAGGTAGAACCACGGAATTACATTTTGGGGATCTCAAAAGTTGGCATCTGGTTAAATGGAGCAGAGGGTGAGCTACATGTGTGCCACTCTCAGGTGCCCTGGCAACTGGGATTTCTCTCCATGGAAACAACATATTTTGGGAAAGCCAACATGAGAAGGAAGTACAGTAAACAGAAACTATTTAGCATCACCTTGAGGGAGGTTCTGCGAGAAGTTTTAGAAGACCCTAGGCCACAAACAATGGAACAGAATTATGAAAGGGAAATGCTGTCTTATGTATAAAGGATTAATTTTGAAATTTTATGTTGGCAAAAGTGTCTGGCTATTGCTAACTTGTCCCTTTTCCCACCAATTCTTGTCAAGCTGACATGGGTAATAAATCATGTAATTCCATAAACACATTGACTCACAGTTCCTGCTAATTGACTTCAATGCTTAGAAGGAACCAGGACTAGGAAAAAAATAAAGCTCATTCTACAGCTGCCTTGTATAAAATGGTTTAGATTCTGCCCAACCTAGCAGGTCAACGTAGAAGCACGAATACTTTCAGTTTCTAATATCATCTTCCCAGAGCCTACTATTCATTCTCTCATTCTGATTCTCTCCAAATTGGTAGATATTTATGGAAACTTCCATGATCTTTTAGGCACACTTTCTTTCTTCAGTGACACTTCTGGTGGTGGGGCAGAGTGAGGCTCTACTCCAAGCTACCCCAGATTGCATAATTTTTGCTTGGTTCCTGCTGGTGAAGTGTGTGTGTGTGTGTGTGTGTGTGTGTGTGTGTGTGTGCACGCACGTGCGCGCTGGCATTTACTATTTCTGTTCATTTGATTAGGTACTCATGTAGAGAAAGCCTGTAATCTGGTTTCATTTTATAATCTTTGCTAGCAGTTAGCCTGAGTTTTTTTTTAAGGTTTTCTATGAATCACTAATTTTGTTAAAACCTTATGGCATATGAATTGTTTTCAATCCTTTTCCTTTAGTTACATTTTCATGTACTTTTATGAACACAATGATGGCCCAAACTCTATGTAATGTGAATTGAGTCTCTAATGTAAAAGAAAATCCAAATTCTTTTTCTTGGAAAGATATCACACTAGTCACGAAGTCCCATTTCTAGGAAAGGGGGTGATGTCATAACTTAGAGGCAGGAGACATGACTATTAAGCAAAAGGTGCAGCTCTTGATGAGTCCCTGAAGAGGACTTCCAGTCCCAGACATACAGACAGTTGACTAAAGCATAAAGGTAATGCCAAAAATGAGCTACTTAGATTTTGATAAACACATTAAATAGCAGTGATTGAGGTACACAATATATTTTAAAAGCTGAACAGTTTATCCACATTTCATTCATTTAGTGATTAAAAAAAGAAATAATGAAAAAAAAAAACGAATAAGCCAAAGTTCCAACTCTTGGCTCTTGGCCAGGAAAACTTCATAAGAGATGAAAGCCACCTTCATCATTATTCATTCGGCAAAATAATCCATGCTTAAACAAATGACTTTTATGTGTGCAGCATGTGCTGTGTATTCTGCTTCCAGGTGGAGCCTGTTCAGCCCTTTTTGTGGTTTCATTTGCTGTAGTTGATCCAACTTGGAAATGAGTTGGAATCCTGGTGACCCACCTTGGCAGGATCTGCTGTCTGAGGCTGGAGTGAAGCCCATCTCACACTCGCAGCGATATGCACCTGGGACGTTGAGGCATTGTCCATTCTCACAGAGATTTATGTTTTCTGCGCACTCATCAACATCTGTTGAAGGAGCAAATTACATCTCTATTAAGTTCCAAATCTCATGACATTTTTTTCTTTGCTCTATAACTAAACCAGTCTCACTGGCTTGAGTTAGTGCTCATTAACATCAAACAACAGTTATCCATATACACCTAAGTAAGGGTATACAACTTGATAGCAGAGCTGTTTATGCCCTAACATTCAATCCCATTATGATAAACAGGAGGAACGAGGTGTCTCTCACATCTGTCTCAGTTCTCTTTAATGCTAATTTGATGCATCTGTGTTACACCAACATCATTTAGATATAACCAAGAACACTGAAATTAATCTTAAAATGGTGTTAATTCATTTGAAAACATTACAGTATTAAAATGAACAACTTTCTCACTAGTTCAAGTATTTTTAAGCAAGTAAGGGACACTCTAAGGGAGTGAGGAAAGTTTCTTTCATGCCATTACAATCTCATTAAAATATTCTTATTTTAATTTCACAAATGAGTATTATTCATAGAACTTAAAGACAATTTCTTTGATTCTATCAAATGGAAAAAGGGGGGAAGGGCAGAAATGTTTATTGAGGGCCTAACATTTGCCAGGGAGTGTGCTAGCTGCCTGACGTTCATGTTTTCACTTAGTTCACCAATCCTGTGAGGTTTACAAGAGGAAGAACCCGAGGCTAAGAGGAGGCGACTGATGCCTGGGAGTCACAGTGATCTAATCTGCGGCTGAGCCAGGGTCTAGGTCCAGCTGTGTCTGATACCAAAGCCATGCCCCTGCCCTCACACCACGGTGCAGAGACATTCTAAGAAAGATGCAGTACCCGAGGTTTAAAAGTAAGGAAGCTTTACAACTGAATAAACATGTTTTCCTAAAGAGGCATTAGAAAACTCTAAGTCTATGTTTTTGGTGTCACTAATTAGAAAAAACTATCTCTTAATTTGGGGTTTAAAGTGTGCACTGAAATTCAACTGACAACACTTATCTCTCAAGCTTAAAAGTATCATTCTTTATGTCCAGCAAGATGATCTAGTCTTTTACATGAATATAATGAGTGGATGTTTTATCCTCAAGGAATGCAGAGTGAATTTACTCACATTCATTAAGCTCTTATGATGCATGTTTCTAAGCACTTTACTTGTATTATTCCATTTAATCCTTTCAATACCATGTGATAAACTGAGATTTTGATAAACACAATAAATAGCAGTGACTGGGTAGGTCATAGATTTTATTTTAAGAAGCTGTATAGTTTTCCCAACATGTCATTCATTCAATGATATAAAAGAAAAAGGGAAACAGTATTTATTATTACTATTACCACCATGTCCATTTCAAAATGGAGAAACTAAGGACACACAGGTTAAGTCATTTACTTAAGGCTATATGGCCAGTAAGCAGCATAGGTAAGATCTGGATCCAGATGGTCTGACTCAGAGCCTGTATTTTTGACCATTATGTTAATTAATGAATAAAAGGAAATGACAGTCACTAAGAGTACATGATAGTAATAAATGCCATTATTTTTAAAAATTTCCAGGTTTTTGTGTTTAATGTAAGCAAAAGATACATATTCACCTTAAGTCAAGTGTAAAAACAGAGGCAGTGATTTCAGCCTCCTTTAACTACAGTCTTCTTCTGATGATAAAAACATACAGAATGTTGCATGAAAATCAGGACATCACCCACCTGAGCAGGTAAATCCATCTCCAGTGAACCCTTCGGAGCAGGCACAACGGTAGGAGCCTGGGGTATTAACACACTGAGCATTTATGCTGCACTGGTGGGTTCCATTAGAACATTCGTCCAGATCTGCATGTCAAGAGAACATAGCAATAAAGTTCAGAAATGAAAATGGAATATTTAAACACCCAGGAAGATTTTCATTTGTCTTAATTTAAATGTAAACTGGCCCCAAACTGGCCAAATGGAATGCATTTTAGTTTACTGGTCAAGTTGCAGTTCTACATAATTTTCTAAGACCTCAGACCTATGATGCAAAATGTTCATGCTACAAACATGGGCCAAAATAATTAGTTCAAGCGTTTTGTGAGCTGTCTAATCAACTAGAATTATAATGTTTAAAAGAAAACCAGGCCTAGATTTCCTTCTGATTTCTACTGAGGGTGAATTTTATCATTGGCTACCTTATCATTGAAAAAGGGGTCAATTTTCAAGATAATACTGAATTTCAGAGCAGGACAATTACCATAGAATTTTCAAGTTCATTTTATAGATGAGGAAACCAAGATATGATTCTTGACCTCATGGAACCCCTAGTCTAGTGGAAAAGACAGATGTTAAACACAGAAAATTAAATTAAATTAAATACTGTCATACATGTACCATGAAGAAAAGTTACAAGGTATAAGGAAATAAGAAGGATGTCTAATTTGGATTGCAGGAATTAGGAAAGCTCCACTGAGTAATTTTTAGTTAACTTCGCATCTGAAGGATGACCGAGAGTTGACCTGCGAACAGAAGTAGGGATGGGTCTTCCTTGCAGAGGGAACAGCACGTATGAAAACACTGAGAAGGAAAAGAGCTTTGATGTGACAAAAATTAAAGGAGGTCAGCGTGACAAAGCACAATGTAGGAGACCAAGGATGAAGGAAAGTGAAGCTGGAGAGATAGTGGGAAGATGCCATAGGGTCTTGTAAACCATGTGAAGGAAGCTGAATTCTTTCCTAAATTCAATGGGTTAAGATGACAATTGTGAAGAAATCAGATCCATGGTTTAAAAAATCTACCTGGCTGCAATGTGGAGAATGGATTGCGGGAGGACCAGAGAGGGAGTAAGCAAACATATGAGGAGGTTCTTTTAGCAGCTAACAGAGAGAAAGGGCTGGGGTGGGGGGCAGATTGAGAGAGAGAACGGTTGTGACAAGAGCAGGGGGATGGAGATGGAAAGGAGTGGAGGGATTTGGATGTCATTTTGGAGTAGAGGTGCCTGGACACGGTTAAATCTTTTGTATTAGCGGCAGGCTATTTTTCGATAGCTGGCCAGAGTGACAGATGGACAAGAAGCACAAAAAAAGGGAGGCTAGAGGAGAGAAAAACAGTAAAGAAATGGGACTAGAAAAATGGGAATGGGGATATAGCTGAAAAGTTGTGAGATTAATGATAGAGAAATGGCTGGACTCAAGTGGGTAGCTAGTGGACTTAGTGACACCATGAGAGAACCTTCCTTAGCAAAGTTATTTAAAAACTATGTTAACTCAAATTCTGGAGTCAGCTCATAAACATTTGGCAAGTATAAAACAATTGAGTAGGTAAGAAAGTACATTCAAATTAACTAATATTATTAATGAGATCTTAAAATGATCCTTTAATTCTTGCTGCAGGCTTATCAGGTTTTAATGAGTAATCATGGGGAGGTCGGTTTTGCTTGCTTTAATTTGTATTTTAAATAGACCTGGATCATTTTTATGAGTTACAACATGCCTTATTGTTGAGGCACATAAAACACTGAACGTACCAAGCAGCACTATGAATGACATCAAGGGTAAAACCCAGTTCCTTGCCTCACAGCTATAAAGGACTTATTAGACTCTGGTCAAGAGCTATAAAACTTGGAGAATGGCAACTGCCTTCACATTCTCCTTCTAATCTGGCTTCTTGGAATCCAAGACATTTAGATTTCTCTGGAAGAAGAATTCTATTTTCTATTAAGAAGCTGGTACTGACCACTTACTATAGACCTAGGTTATCTGAAAAAAATCTTTTCATTCCCTTCATTTATTTCACTGGGTTTTAAATCTCACTGATACTCTATGAAAAAACTGGAAAAATATATTAGTCATGTTTCATCCTACAGCTGTTTGGATTTCTGGCTGCACATCAAATAATTTTTACTGAACAACACCACATTAAAAAGCAGATGCCAAGGCATACTGTTGTAATTTGATCATTTATACCAAAGTTAAAGGAAACTCTTAGGCAAGAATTATCTTGCAACGAAAGACAGCCTTTAATTTTCAAGAGAATAAATGAAAATAAGAGGCACGTTCCTATTTAAGTATGTAGGTTAACAACTGTGCAAAGAAGAACCTCTAGGGATTTTGTGTCTTAGCAAAGGTTATTTACATTTGCAAAATACTCACCAATACATTTGATGCCATTTCCAACCCAGCCTTCTCTGCAGCTACATTTGAAGCTTCCTGGGACGTTTAGACATGAGGCATGCATGTCACAGTTGTGGGCACCAATTTCACACTCATCCACATCTGAGAAACCGTAGTTAATATGAAGATAAGATACAACCTAGTTAATTCTACTTCCAAGAGATTTCTGTGTAGGCAAAATTTTAAAGTAAACGCAGAGAAAACATTAACGTCACTTTTATTTGTAATGTTTAGACTCCATCAGGATTTGGAAGTTCATGATCCAAATCAAACAAGGCCTTCCCTGAAAGAAATTGCCAGCCAGAATATATAAAAATAATCACTGGAAATGTTATCTGGAAAATGACCATATGCTTTTATCAGTATTATGTATATAGTGTCTGTGTATGTGGTACACATACATATGAACGTGCAGAGTTCTTCTTTCATTACTTGCTCTTTCCTGGAGGTTAAGCTTAAGGCCTAGGCTGCAGTCTAAGTCACCCACCACCTGGCTTGAGCAAAATACCACACTAGAGCCTTGAGCAATGATGGACATTTGGCCCAAAGCACTGACCTTGGGAGTTCAACCCCCATCTGCCCTTCAAAAGGCTAAAACTATTTGGTAGAGAACAGGAATAAGAGATAAAATGAATGGGGTGAACAAAGAAAAAAAGCGAAGAGAGGGAATTTGGGCAGGGAGAAGAGAAGGCAAAAGAAAATGGGAAGAGAGGAGAGAAGATCAGAGAAAAAGACGGGGGAAAGAAAGGAAAGAAAAGAGTCTAGATCTAAGTTTAGATTAATTTCTGTTAGTTTAAAAGAACTGCAAAACTCAGCAAACACTGGGATTCCTCCAGGTCTTTTGGTGCTTCTTCCTTACGTATATCTCCTGTTTGGGCAGGAGAAAGTGAACGCTGCCCCAAGAGCTACCAGGAGCACATCAGAACCATGGGGGCCAGATTCCACACCCATTCTCCCACTCCGCGACCAAGCACAAAGCCAGGTCTGCGGCTTGGTAGCTGAGACCGTGCTCATCTACCACAGAGAAGAGACAAACGCATCACACATGCTCTGGGCCAGTTACTCATCACATAACTGTCACAACCTGGTGTGGGTAAAAGTACAAGAAATTCCAGGGAACAAATGATGTTGAAGGTTAACCTCTGAAATATAAGAAGCTGAAACACAGGGGATACAAGCTTGAGACCTACCTGTGCATCCTGTGGTCCCCTTCTTTACTGAATACCCCAGCTGACAGTGGCAAATGAAGGATCCCTTGGTGTTCTCACATTCCCCAAACATGCAGATGTTTGAATTTAAGTCACATTCATTCACGTCTAGGAAATGGATTTTCAACACCTTGGTTAATACTTGTTTATTCTAGTAATTCAAAAGCTATCTTTTAAACTGAATAGCATACTAATGAGATACACAAATAACATTTAAAATATATGTATTTGCAGGACACAGTATTACAGATAAATATATTGTCTTTAAGGATTTTTTTTCAAATAATTCTTCCTTTTTGGCTTTCACGTCTTCTAATACAATGGTTTGAATTTTAAAAATAACCAAAAAAGCCTTTCCTTCTTAGGTGTGCGTGTGTGTGTGTGTGTGTGTGTGTGTGTGTGTGTGTGTGTGCATACTGTACATAAATATTTATCCTGTTCTTATGTTACCCACCAATGCATGTTTTCATGTCCATTGAAGCCATGAAGCCATCATAACACAGACAGCGATACTCTCCAGGAATGTTGGTACACTGCCCACCATCACAGATATCGGGATTGTTTTCACATTCATCAATATCTGATGATACAAAATCAAAATCAAATGAAAAACAAGGATGACTTTTATTAAGCTCATGCATTTTTTTTCATCCACTTCCACACAAAATATGTAGAGCCAGATTTGTAAGATAAGATTAACCAGATGTACAAAGTCTGTGTATTTTCCTTCCTGTACCTGCGCACGACCTCCCATCTGGCATCAGGGCATAACCTTCACTGCAGCTACATTCATAGCTTCCTTCTGCATTAGTGCACTGGGTGTCACAGCCTCCGTTCATTATCATACATTCGTCAATATCTGTAAAAACATTGCCACCACGTTACTTGTCAGAGATACTTCCTTAAAAAAAAAAAAAAGAGAGTTTTTCTACTTCTTCTTAAGCAGACAGTGCTTCAGTGGCTTTGGATTTTTCTCCCCACTATTCATGTTGATTGATCATTGTAACATTAGCCTTTCTTGGTTCCTCTCACTTCCTTTTAGAAAGCATTTCATTTGACATTCAGCTCCAGTAACCTAAGATTAAAGAACTCAGATATACCATATAGGATGAAATATATATAGAGAGAGAAATATAGGATGTTTCTTATTATAAAACCAAAGGTTCCTCTGCAAAACCACCAAGCCATGGCATCTGCCCCCATTCTTAGATTTGTTTTTAGGACAAAGGACTCCCATCGGCGTCATTATATATTCCATGCCAGAAGCATTCCTCGACTGACTTGAGATACAATTTCCAGACCTGCCTGGCCTACCCTTACCTGTACAGCCCTGCCGGTCTGGCGTGGCCTGGTACCCAGCATTGCAGGAGCACTGATAAGTTCCAATCATGTTTACACATTTTCCATTTCTACAGAGATTGTCACTCAGGGAGCATTCATTAATATCTATAAAAAGATACACAGAGTTAATGTTTTATGAAATCACAACATCACTTAAACTATCAAGAACATGCAGCATCAGAGCAATGGTCTCTAAAGGGCTTTATTTACTTCAGGGGGAAGTAAGATGGTCTCTTGCAGCAATTCAAAGAAAACGCCAGAATCTATATTTCTCTTAGTTCTATCTACAACAGTGCTCTCCAGTGGAACTTTTTACATTGATGGAACTGTTACATATCTGTGCTGTCCAATATGTAGCTGTTACTGAGTGCTTGAAACATGGATACTGTGACTAAGGAACTGAATTTTTAACGTTATTTAATTTTGATAAAATTTAAATAGCCACGTGTGGCTAGTGAGTACCACATTAGACCACATCCACCTAGCGCATGCCAGAAATAAAGCTTGCTAATACTTAATCTATGAATTTACACTGGCACCCTCAGCTGGTCTTAATTGGATGGTTACGTGTTGTCTAAATAACATGAAGGTTCCTGAGGGAAGACAGCTGGTTCCACAAAACAGAGGGGCTGAAAATAGGGCCCTCAGTTTTTAAGTTTTCATGGCATTGTGTTTACAGGGCCTGGATAGGTGGATTACAGATTATATTGCCTGTTTTTAAGTAAACTAACCCTTATAAGATGGGCAGATGCCTTAAAGAAAATGCCTGCAAAGATCTGTGGAAGAAACTAGTACTAATAATGCAAAAAGAGAAGAGCAAGAAAATGGTAGAGTGACGTTTCCTCACACAAGTTACCCGTCAAACACAATCTAAGGTAAAAAGCAGATGTAACAAGAAATTCACCCCAAATTCTCAAAATTACTAAGAAGACAATGTGGCAGATTTATGTTTATAATCATGAAATATTTATTTTATTGAACATGCAAAAATACATATTTTATAATATACATTATATCATTGAGGGGAACTTTTTTTTTCAGCTATAAAACCCATGAAGGGCTTCCCTGGTGGCGCAGTGGTTGAGAGTCCACCTGCCGATGCAGGGGACACGGG